GCTAGCGTTGAGAATATAAAGACCTATAAATGCTGAGAGGGTGAAGTAAAGAGGAAAAACTCTTCAACACTGTCTGAATGTGTGATAAATGGTGACTCAACAATGGAACTCGCCATGGAAGTTCCTCACAAGAGTAGAGGATGCGTATGGTCCAGCTATAGCACATGCTCAAAGTGCTATATATATAGCGCATGCTCCCTGGACACATGCTCAAAGGACTCCAAGGAGTGGCCTTCAAGGATGCTTACCCATGCTTATTGCCATTCCATTCGTGAGATCTAAGAACTGGAACCAGCCTATATGCCCATCCATAGATGAGTGGGTAAAGAAAAGGTGGAGTTTTACTCAGCCGTAAAGAAAATAAAATCATGACAGTTGAAGGAAAACAAATGCATCTGGAAATCATTATGTTAAACAGAATAAGATAGACAGAGAAAGACAAATGCCAAGTGTTTTCTCTCATATATGGAATCTGGATTTCAATTATAATGAGCACATACACACAAGGGCCGGGGTGAGAAATTTGATAGCCTGAGTAAAAGGAACAAATTCTCTGAATAACAAATCTGCCAAAGCTCAGAAAAGTAATATTTGAATCTGACCATATCTGTATCTATTAGGGAAATTGAAATAATAACTGATAACATTCCATAATTCAAAGCACCAGACCTATGTAATTGAGACATAATTCTCCCAAGCATTTAAGGAAGAAAGCTTATCAATTTTCTATACTTTTCCAGAAGACAGAAACAGAGAGAATACTTTAAAACTAACCTCTCCATCTGCATTAGTGCCCTAAGACTGAAAAAGACACAAGATATATACCAATCCATATATATCTTATGAACATAGACACAAAATCTACAATATATTAGCAGATAAATAGTGTATAAAATAATTATTGTCCCATAAATAGACAGCTAGAAAATAAGGCTTTATTCTTTACTTCCAAGGCAATGAGCTATTAAGTCACGAAAGACACAAAGAATACTTAAATTCACTAACTGAATGAAGCCAAACTAAAAAGGTTATATTTTATATTATCCACTTTTATGACAATAAAAGCACCAGTAACAGTCAGTACCTAGCACAGTGGGAAGGAATAGGTACAGAAAGCCTTTTAGGGCTATTAACTCTGTAAGACATCATAATTATGGTTACACGCTGTTGCATCTTTGGCAAAGTCTACAGAATGTGCTAGAACTTGTTGCGAACTTCTGTGAAGTATGGGCTTTGGTGATGATTTGCTAGTGTGAGTTCACTGATTGTGAGGCTGTGTTGACAGTGGAGGAGCCTGGCCTTCATCTGGGCAGAGGGTGGCTAGGGAACCTCGGTACTGTCCTTCCAATTTTCCTATGGATTGCTTTAAAAACACAGTGTTTCCGAAAAATAAAAATAAAAACAAATGCTCTCCTAAACCCGTTCTGCTTGGAGTGGGCTGACAAAGCAGTCCCTCTGGCTTCCCTCCTGTCCCAGGCCAAAGGTTCTGGGTGTCCGGAGCCTACAGAAATGTTCACAGCTTGTCTCCACTGCACTGTGAGTCTATTCATGAGTTACCCTGCCCTGCTACAGGCGCCTTCTAGCTTACTTTCCATTTGTCTGACATAGCATCTATCCTCATACTTTCAAGGTCTAATGATTCCCTGACTATTAGAAACAGGTCCATCACAACATGCAAACATACCCTCGCCTGTGCCGTTCCTCTCACTTTCTGAGTGAAGTCCCACTTCTGTCTGTGACTAAGCACCCAGTTTTTCTCTTGGTTCTTCTTCCAGCAGCAGTAATCCCGATTTTCTTCTCTGCTGACCCATCCATATTGTTTTGGGTTTATGAAGTCTTGTATTTCCCAAGTTGTTTCTTTTCAAGATGTGTTTCTCTCTACACTTTACTGTCAGCTTCTCTGAGGGAAATCTAAACGTACCTACCACTTTATTTATATTATCATTAGTCTCTTGAAGGAAAGGTGACCTAATTATCTTGCTCAGCTGTGCTGCTGCGTGTCACTATATCCCATTTTTCTGAATCCCTTAACTCGTTCATTTCTTCTCCTTGAGATGCTTTTCTCTGTAGTTTTCATGACATCTGTTTCTTCTGTCTTCACTGTCAACTCACCTAAGTCAACAGCATCATCATCACAGAGGGAACCCAGAATATGGCGACTTGTTAAAGTGCTGTAATTTGGTGATGGGATTAATATGGGGTGAGCAACAGATTTCTGGTGCTTGCAGTTAGATGGATGGCCAGTGAGGTAGGGCACATTAGAGGAGTTTCAGAATATTTGAGAACACTCCTGAGACATCTGTCTTTATCCAGCGTGCTCTCCCCGACCTAGTTTCTTGGCGTTCCCTCTTACGCACTCTAGCCTCCCCCCGTCTGTAAGATCACCACTATCGCACAGTGTATGCACTCAATGCACGCTGTTCGTTTAGAGCTATTCACCACCACATATATGAACACTCTTCCACGGTGGTTGGAATCCTGTACGACTTAAGCCAAGACATGCCATCTTAGTACCCTGCTCAGTTTACCAGAGTGGAATCAGTCATCCTCTCTTTGGCATTTCCAGAACACTTTATACATTGTTTCTATTTTGGCACTTGCTATATGCCTTGTGTCATTTTTTTTAATATCTGTGTTTTCAATTCATACAATTGAGCTTCACTGAGTAAAACAACACTTAGTTCCATACCTTCCGTATAACAAGGTATCAATAAATATGGATTGGGTTGAACTACAAACTTGGAAGAGGTGCAAAAGAAAGTGACACTGCAAAATCTGTAGATCACTCTTTCTCATGTACATTTTGAAAAAAAGTTATATTATTTTTCTCACAGTTCTGCTGCATGGCACTTTGCATGTAGCCAAATCTGACAGAGCAATGTATATGTATTAAAATTACATGAAGCTAACCAGAAGTAAATAGCCGTAGTTGAGAAGATACTCACTATTGCAGGAAAACTGAGCCCTTTGAATGACCTTGTAAAAAATTAGATATTCACCTTTTAAAATACTCAACATTCTCCCCCAACTAGAGGACCCACATGGAGACTGCGCTGACTTTTGGCTATATCTGAGCAGGGGGTCTAGGTCCTTTCTGTGCAAGGTCTTTGGTTGATGCATCAGTCTCTGCAGTCCCCGCCTGGGCCCAGCTTTTTTGGCTTTGTTGGTCTCCTTATAGGGTGCCTGTCCCCTCTGGGTCCTTCTATCTTCTCTAGGTTTACCTGTGAAGGATAAGTGGAGTTGTCCACACATGAGAGGAAAACCTCTAGGCATGGAAAACAGAAAGGATGTAGTATAGACTCTTTAAGATACTGGCCTATTTGAGCTTGCTCTGCGCAGAGATGGGCAGTGATACTGAAAGTGCTACAGTGTTGTGAAGGCCATGAGTTCCATACCAGGAAAATTTTAAATTTTTCTATAGAGAATGAGGCACCATCTGGGACTGTTAAGCATCATAGTAACCACATTTTGTTTAAGTTTTTGACTGTCAGAGCCAAAAGCATCACTGGGGATGTCTTCACAGAGAGGCAGGCAGGGCCTCAGCCAGCTAAGTATCCATGAACTTCTCTGATTTCACCAGCTGCTCATTGTCATTCTCCAGCTAAAGTTTCCATCTAAATAGACTCACAACAACAGATTTTTACAAAAATTTCAATTTTTGTAAAGAGCGTATATCAAAACAAACTAATTTCTTTAGATATCGGGGAATATAAAAGAGGATGCCTGCTTGACAGAGCCAGTGTGGATAAAAACTATGCACAAATCCTGCTGGAAGAGTCAGAAGGTATCCTACATAATTTCTTTCCTGCTGTGTAGTCCTTACATCCAATTAAATAGCTGTTGGTGGGCACAGTGATGTAAGTGTCACCATTGTGCCCTCAGGGATGTCTTGACGTGCTGGCCATTGCAGTGGATTGGGGGCGTCACAGGTGGTAGGACTACTAAATGGCTGCCTTCCTTAGCACCTTGCATGAAACCTTCTGGATCTACAAAAATGCCATTGAGTTTGTTTTGCGTTAGCCATCTACTGCCAGGCAAAAGACATACCCTTAAGTGTGGTTAATATATCTAATGAGACTCCATTGGAGAAAATTAATTTTTCTTTTTCTATCAGATGACAATTTTAGATAGCTTCTTGGTTAGGGGTAGGAGATTTGAGGCTAAAGCTGAAATCAGATTTTATGTACTCATCTACTATTTAAAATTTTTGTAATATTTATTCCTGTAAAAAATTGGCAATGACCATATCCCTACTGCCAATGGCTTAACACTACTTCAAAAAAAAAAGAAACAAACAAACAAACAAACAAACAAAGAAACAAACAAAGAAAGAAAGAGAAAGAAAGATCAGAAAAAAAAGAAAAAATCAGAAATGAAGTGAAGGTTATTTTATTTATTTAATCACTTCACAACCTGATACCAGTCCCTCCCTCCTCTCCTCCCAGTCCCACCCTCACATAACCCTCTCCCCTTTCCCACCTCTCCTTCTCAGAGAAGAGGAGGCCCCCAAGAGGTACCAACCTACCCTGGCACCTCAAGTCTTAGTAGGACTAAGTGCATTCTCTCCCACTAGGGGAAGAGGTTCTGAGGCAGGCAGCGGAGTCAGAGACAGCCCCTACCCCATTGTTAGGGGACTCACATCTTGATCAAGCTGCACACCTGTACATATATGTAGCTGGTCTAGGTCCAGGCCATGCTTGCTCCTTGGTTGGTAGTTCAGTCTCTGTGAATTTTTAACAAATTTGCTAACAATCTTTCTTTCCCATTTAAAACAATTCAAGAGAGTTTGTGATAGAAATGGTGACCCTTCAACCATTTATGAGGCTGTAAGTTCAATATGTTGTACATTCCTAATGCAAAAGAGAAAACTAAAGATCAAATATGTGATGATATTTTCTAACAAGCTTTCACTCAGTCTATAAACAGCACAGAAGAGCTGTACCTAAAACTTCCTCCAAATGGGTAAAAGTTCATAATTCAGAGATGGATTTTCTTCACAGGCATGAACGAATTCATACCAAGAAAGGTAACTTAAATCTTATTTCCAGTCTGAGGGATGTAGATGACCTAGCAACTCTAGATGTTTTGGATGAGGTAAGAATTTGGTTTAATTAAATTTAACCATTCTAATTCTTTTTACAAAATTTAGAATTATTTATTGTATTTTATATATGTGAGTGTTTTGCCCACTGTATGTCTGTGCATGTGGGCATGCAGTACCCAAGGAGAAGAGACAAGGACATCAGATCCCCGAGAACTGGAGCTACAGATGGTTCTGAGCTGCCGTGTGGGTGCTGGGAATGGAACCTGGGTCTGCTGAAAGAGCAGCAAGTGCTCTAAACTTCTGAGCCATCTCTCCATTCTATTTTTTTTAATTTAAAGAACTGATGTGTACAAAGGGTTCTTTAAATACCTTCTGCAATGTTATACATAATCTCTCTCTCTCTCTCTCTCTCTGTGTGTGTGTGTGTGTGTGTGTGTGTGTGTGTGTATGCATATGTTTCTGTTTGTATGTATCTCTTTCTCTGTATGTCTTTTTCAGACTTTTTTGAGGCCCGTGTAGCCCTGGATGACTTGGAACTCATTATGTAGTTCAGGCTGCCCTCAAATTTGCATCAATCCTCCTGTCCCACTCCCACTATGTGCTGAGAGTATAGGCACAAGCCACCATGTCTGGCTCATGTTCTACCCACTGAAAATACAGAAGAATGGCATTCAAGGAGGGTCAGATTAAGAGTAATTGCTTTAATTGCTTGTAGCTCATGTCAAAAAGACTCTGGACCCCAGGAAAACACATGTAGGGTTTATAAAGCCCCAGACCAAAATTATGTCACAACAGCGGTGGCCAGTGGGGTTTCAAAAGCTGCTGTTGACAAAAGTTTCAAAAGCTTCCCTTGATGAAAACAATGGAGTCTCTGAGCCTGTAGGTGCTGGCTTGGCAGGATGTGGTTCGCTGGGCTGAGTGGGGGAGGAGGTTGGGTGAAGGGCACAAAATGAAGTCAACTAAAGCAAAATAGAATTACCTTGGTCAGTTCAGTTCATACTTTGTCTCTCCTTACCTCTCTTATCTTTACAATATCACATTTTTATATCTTTCTGGCCTGCTGTCATTTTTTTTAATACTTAAATATGAGGTCTCCCAAACCTGTGTTAGATCACAAATGTTTTTTCTCAATCCTTTCTGAGAGTTTCAAAAGTATGATTTACCCATAAGACAGTCTCCTTCTTATACCTACCATGTGACCTCTCTCTCCTTTTGCCAGCTCTCAGTGGCAAGACACAAAAGCCTCTGAGATGCCAAAACCCATATTATGTTACCCATAATACTCCTCACAAATCACAAACCTGCAAGGACATTTCATTATGTTTATTATGCTTGAAAGTCCCCATTGCTGTTGCCTCAGAAACACTTCAAACATCCTTTGTTAACATACAGTCCATACTGGTGAACCACAGGCTCCGCCTGTCTTCTCCCTCTGGGTCCCAGATAAATCTGGTCATTAAAGAAAGAAATGGCTCTGTGGCATGAAGGCTGAGACCTGTGCCCTGTCTGGTCAACTGCACTTTAGTTTTCAATCTTTTTGATTAACACCTGGGCATTTTACTCAGAAATTCAACAAACCCAGACACATTCTGAACAGTAGCAATTTGCTGCATTTGCATTTGGAATGACCCTTCAGGACCAGTATAAAATGCTTGATCACCATCCTGTGCCACTATTGGGCTGTAGTGGAAGCTGTAAGAGATAGAGCCTGGTAGGAAGTCTTAGGCCAATATGTGGCATGGCCTTGAATAGGATGTAGAGCCCTGGACCCAGAGCTCCTCTCTGTGTGATATGTAACACATACTCCCACTGTGACGTGCAGTCTCATTCAGGACCAAAGGCCAAGGAGCAGAGACCACCCCAAGCCTACAAAGCAATCCACTTCTCTTTGTAAGTTGATTTTTCTCAAGTATTTGTGGAAAGGTGACTAACCCAGTCATTCAGTAAATTCATGGTACATAAACAACCTCCTCAAAATAAGCACTCAGGATCACTACAGGTCTTGAAATCAGAGAACATCTGTAAGGCAGAGATTGCTCTTGCCTTTATGAATTCTTTCCTTGCCAGTACTGTGAAGACCCAGGCTTGTAAACTGTATTGCAACTATTAAAATCAGCTCATATAGTCACATGATCAACTGAAAAGGTTACTTTCTGAATTTTTTGCTCTACATGCCCATATGTCTAGGCAGAAGACACAGCACAATTAAATCATCTTGAATTGGAATAAAATCCTGTATACTCACTCTTTACTTTCTAGATTACTACTATACTTATTTATTTCCTTGAAGGATATATAACACGGAATTTAACATAATATGTAGATATAATATACAACATATACTAGGAAACACATAAACCTTTTGTAAAGCGCACTAAAGATTGGTGTTTCCAGTGGACATGATGGTGCACACCTTTAAATCCAGCATGACAGGCAGAAGCTGTAGGGCCTCTTTGAGTCCCAGGCTGCCTTTCTGCATAGTAAATTTCAAGCTGGCCAGGGTTGCATAGAAAGACCCTGTCTCAAATAGAGAGAGGTTAAAAATTATATTCTAGATGGGTGCAATGATGCACGCCGGTAGTCCCAGCTTGTGGTGAGGCAGAGGCAGCAGATCTTTGTGAGTTCGAGGCCAGCCTGGTCTACAAAGCGAGTCCAGAACAGCCAGGGCTACACACAGAAACCCTGTCTCAAAAACACAACAACAACAAGTTATATTCCCCTTTAGCCTTCAGAACCAAGGAAACTACCTGTCAAGTGGCTTACAAGCATGTTGGCATTCTGTTTGATATTAGTAATTCTCTCTAATCCTCAATCAAGATTCCAGATATTTGTGTTAATTTCTGTTCAGCTTTTAAAGTATAGTTGGACACAAGTTACTTTGTTTCTTCTTCTCTCCTTCTCCATGACTCTTCTTATTTACCTTTTCAAAACTTAGGATCCTCTTGTCTCACCATCCTATATGCTAGGATTGCAGGCCTGTGCCACCATACTTGACTTATGAATGATTTTTTAAAAGGGCGAAATTGTTTTTATTTTGCTGCAGAACACAGTGTCGGAACACCTTGAGAAGTGTTATTCCAGAGATCAAATCTATATCTATGTGGGAGATATACTCATTGCACTTAACCCCTTTCAGAGTCTGGCTCTTTATTCCACAAAGGTATGTGTAGGGCTTCCAGTCACTGTGCACCGCTAACTCTAGTAGTCGGATTCTTCACTTAAATAGATGCCAACAAAAACATTATCTAGCACTTGAAGAAAACTGTTATAAATTTATTATTGAAACAGACATAGAGGTTGGAAAAATATATGAAATCAACTAAGTTACTAGTTCTGGTCTTTTTTTTTTTTTCAAAAATACATGTGAGATTGTGAATTAGACACAGTTTTACTAGTAACAGCCTATTACTAAAAATGAGGATATTTAATGTCTATCTCTAAACTGAGTGTTGGAGAGTCAAGCATAGCTATACCGTTTATATATAGAATACATAATAGTTATAAAATTTGTCATTGTGATATTTTAAATTCCTTTTAACATGTTAATTGGTTCATTACTATCATACAATCTATGCTTTATGAGTAAACGTATTTAATTATCAATTACTCAGACACTAAAGCTTTAAATATAGAATTAAAGAAGACTATTTTTCATTTTTAATTAGACCTATTGTCTTTTAGCTATCTTTTCACTCTAAAACATTATATAATATTGTGCCTAGAAGCTCATTTAAATGCCAATCTAAAATGTACAGGAGAATAATGTTTACCAGTGTTAGCCTGGGCTATGAAAAAAAAACGTTGGTGTTAGTAAAATTCTACTATCAATTAATTGTACAATTTCATACAAATCAAATGAGATGATGTAGATTAAATTAAGAGATAGAAAAAAGTGTTATGTCAGGCATTGTCATATCCAGGAAGTACAAAATAATTTCTGATTCTATTATTTGTAAAGTTTTTTTCATGCAAACAAGTAATCACATTTGAAGCTTTAAGCTTTATTTTGGAAGTAGCATTCACAATCTTTTAAATATCACAGTATCATTTCATGTTATATCCTATGTATAGGCTAATTCATATACATATATAATTGTTTATGCCTTGTTCATATACACACAAGCAAACACACACACATATACATACATAAAGAGCATTATGTGGTGTTTTGCTCAGATAGATTTTATTCATCTTTGGCTTCCAAAACTAGAACTCTATAAGTTAATAATCTATAAAAACAGAAACTAGGCAAGAAAGCTCTATAAGATTTATTTACTTTAACTCCAGCTTTCTAAGTTATATATTGGAGCAAAGAGAACTGCCAACCCACCTCACATTTTTGCAATGGCTGATTTGGGATACCAGTCTATGGTCACGTATAACTCAGACCAGGTAAGTAGACTTCCCACATCCCTTACTTGCTGAGAGCCTCTGAGTTTCCTGGGGATGCAGACCCCTCATGGCTTTCCTTTCCTCCTGCGCAGTGCATCGTTATTTCTGGAGAAAGTGGTGCCGGGAAGACACAGAGTGCTCATCTTCTGGTTCAACACCTCACCGTGCTTGGAAAGGTAGAATTATTTTTTTCCTGTCCTAATACAAGTATTTTGTCTGTTTCAAATTACTGATTATGTTACTATTTGCTAATTCCCATACTTGATAATATGTGGAAACAATTAAACACTACTGTTACCATTTGAGTTTTAAAATATATCAAACAGGGGTAGAAAAGAGCTCAGTGGTTAAGAGCATGTTCCCTGAGCCTTAGGTGTGGAAGTATTTTGTTGATATATCCAATGGGTCTGGGCTCCACAGTATTATGGGGTTTTTGTTTTGTTTTTTATTGCATTTATTTATTTAATTTATTACAATTTATTCACTTTGTATCCCAGCTATAGCCCCCTCCTTCATGCTGTCCCAATCCCACCCTCTCTCCCTTTTCTCCTCCCATGCCCCTTCCTCAGTCCACTGATAGGGGAGGTCCTCCTCCCCGTTCATCTGACTCTAGCCTATCAGGTCTCATCAGGACTGGCTGCATTGTCTTCCTCTGTGGCCTGGTAAGGCTGCTCCCCCATCAGGGAGAGGTGATCAAAGAGCCAGCCACTGAGTTGGTGTCAGAGACTGCCCCTGCCCTAGAGAACCCACTTGGAGACTGAGCTGCCATGGACTACATCTGTTCAGGGGTTCTAGGTTATCTCCATGCATGGTCCTTGTTGGATATCAGTCTCAGAAAAGAACCCTGTGCCCAGATTTTTGGTTCTGTTGCTCTCCTTGTGAAGCTTCTGCCCCTTCCAGGTCTTTCCATTTCCCCCACATGGTATATACTCACTTATAAGGGGATATTAAACATATAATATAGGATAATGATACTAAAATCTGTACACCTTAAGAAGCTAAGCAAGAAGGAGGACCCTGGAGAAGATGCTCAATCCTCATTCAGAAAGGCAAATGGGATAGTCATCGGAGGATGGAGAAAACAGGGAGCAGAACAAAAGCCTACCACAAAGGGCCTCTGAAAGACCCTACCCAACAGGATATCAAAGCAGATGCTGAGACTCATAGCCAAACTTTGGGCAGAGTACAGGAAATCTTATGAAGCACTGTGTTTTGATTGGTTGTGGTTTTCTGTAATGGTCTGTGACTGGTGCAAAGAAAAGTTTCCTTGATGAAGGGTGAGTACTGCACTTGTCTGTATGTAGAAAGACAAAAGTTTTTATATTGTTGTTAGTGTAGTGCCCAGATCGTGAGACCCCAAAAGACCACCAGGAGTTGAGTCCATTGCAAAACACATGAGGATTTATTTGATACAAGCTCAAACCTGGGTCACAAGCTTCCTGCTGAAACAGGAGAGGAATGCTGCCCTGAGGTCTGGGGGGAACACGGCTTTTAAAGGGCAAAACTGCAAGTGGGGAGTTTCAAAGCCTTGGCATCACATGATTGGGTAAGAGAGGTTGACTTTTAAAATAATTGGTCTACTTTGGGCTTCAAGACCATGATGGTCCTGGCCCAGCCATCTGGAGGATATCTGATCTGCCTGTAATGTCCTGTTAGGGAGGAGGGATGATTAGCACCTCTTGTGGTTTTTCTTAGAAGCAGAGCTATGTGACATTGGTCACAAGCTAGGGGCTATCTGGGTGGGGACCTGGGGCCATCTGGATAGGTTGCCAGGCAATGGTATCTCTCAAGCATAAGCCTGCATCTACATCAGGACAGGTCTATCTCAACTTGCCCACTTCTTTGTCTAAACTTGTACCCAGGACCACAGTTATATTGCCCCAAGATTCAAATTTCAAATTTTGGACCTCTCAGTTAAGGATTTTATACTGGTTCAGTAACTTAGTGGTTGCAGATTCTCTTCTAATAACAATGTCTACATTAGCACTGAGTAGTCATGTAGGTTTCTAGTAACAGGCATGGCTTCTCTTCTTTTGAGTGAATTGTAAGTCCAGTTAGAGAGCTACTGATTACTGTCAAGGTAAGTGTGCCATAACCCTTAGAGTTATCATGGGATGCTGGTCGTTAATGTGGTTGGTGGGCATCATGGCTAGATAGGGCTGTTGGGCGCTTCCTTATTTTGGAAGCTTGCATGGTGCCTATTCCTCAGGGTGTTTAAGTCAGTTTCAGTTCAGAGGTGTCAGAGAGCCTTGTTTCTAAAGTGCATGATGTCTTCAGCAATAGAGACCTTCCATCTTGAAGGGAAACCAAGGACCATGCCATAGGCTGGATGCCTTGTGAGTCTTTTGGATAGCCCTGGCCAAAAGCTCATAAAAGAGCTTCTCATATTTGGTATTGGAGTTTTGTTAGGTGGTCTTTGGATCTTGGAAGGAACACCATCATCCTAGAAAAGCTAATTAAAGTTATATTTGTATAATTATGTGTATCATAGATTTTAAAAAGTTAATAGTTAATAGTTGGATTTCTTCTGGCTTTTTCAGACATCCTTACTTGTTATTTTACTCACAGCCCTCCTTCTTCTGTGTTACCTCTTTCCCTTCTCTAAAATGCCCCTTTTTATGTTTTCCCTATCAGATCACTTGTATCCTGCCATTTCCCCCTTGCCCTCCTTCTGCTTCTTCAGAAGTAGTTTTGAATGAACATTAGCATGTCAAGTCAAAAAAATTGTCTGAGAAGGCAAAGGAACTGTACTAGACAAACAATTTTTTAAAAGAACAAGGTTGCAGTACTGTGTTCTTTATGACTTACTACAAGGTTTCAGCAATGACATATGCCTTCAAGGAATGGTGACAGACTCATGGGACAGATTGGAGTCTACATATACTTGGTCAAAGATGGTTAGTCACTTAATATAATTAACTTTCAAAAAATAGTGTTTAAGAATTTTGTGTGCCCATGCAAACAAGGGAACCTCAGTCTATACCTCACATGTTACAGAAAGTTAACTCAAAATGGATGCTAAGTATAAATGGAAACCCACAAACTATAAAACAGAGGGAAATTTATTGTGATATTACATTGATGAAAAATGTCTTACATGCAACACAAAATTTATGAAAGGAAGACTTTGACTCTAGCAAAATACGATTTCTATTCTCTGATAGTATTGTTAAGAATTAAAACAAATACCAAACATAAGCCTTGCCTAAGAGAAAATGTTAACAAATTACATAACTAATAAAAAGTTATAGAAATATTAAAATGTCTTAAACTCAATATTAAGAGGTTAAATAACAAGAAATGGATAGTAACTGAATGGTCACCTTCAAAAGCTCTGTATAAATGGCAACTGATGAAATGTTCAGTATCATTCATCACCTGGAAAATGCAAACTAGGTATCTTCATAGTGATACCTTTAGATACCTTCAAAAGCCTATTAAAGTCTCTAAAACATGATAAAACATGGTTTTGAAAAGATAAAGTGTTGGCGAGGACCTGGAGCAGCTGGGACTTTTATCTGTTTCCAGTGATAATGCAAATTAGTAGTGACTGACAGCAGTAGTAGTAACGCAGCATAATCATTTTGGGAAATGGCTTATGCCCTTCTTAAATAGTGAAACTGCATTTGCCAGGCAATTCAGTAACCCTACTGCTTCCTACTGAGGAAATCAAAACCCATGTACATACAAGTATTTACAGTGACTTTATTAATAAGCTCAAAAAGTAGATAGGTTATAGGACTATGAGGGCCCTCAATGGTAAAGTTCTTGCCTGCCATATGTTAAGTCCTGAATTCTATCCCCAGTAATATAAAAGAAACTAAAAACAAATGTTGTCTGATACATAGCTAATAGCCTATCATAGCAGACTGCAGCTGCACAGTGAAAAACAGCTGCTCACCTGCACCCAGCTTTCTTCCAGAATTATGCATAGAAAGAATTCCCTGTTTCTGTTAAATTCATTGAGCTTCCTTCCTGCCACATGTGTTGGTACAGAATATAAGTATGCTCTCTTCTGACCTCTGCCCTCCTTTCATGAGGCCCCTCAGTGTTGTGCTGTCACAAGGCTCTCGAGTCAGTCCCTTCCTGTCTCCATGCCCATTAACTTCCTGCTACCATAAAGAACATTTCTGAGGGTTTGGAGGACCTCAAAACGAAATATAAAATGTAAAGAGGAACAGTGGAACTCAGCCTAGTAAGATACAAGCATAGGAATTTGTTGACGCAGTGCTGCCTGCAGGGGCCTTGCTAGTCTGTCCTGATTTCTAAGCTGATAGAGGTTTTCAATAATGATTAGATATGTGTGGATGCTGCTCCGAAGAGCTGAGCAAATTGTTTAATTTAATCTTTACCTTGTTCTAGATCGTAACATGTGATACGATGGGAGGTGTGTGTGTGTGTGTGTGTGTGTGCGTGTGTGTGTTTACATGGGTGTATGCATGCAAGCGTGCACAAGTCTATATCTATGTCTGTGCCTGTGTCTGTGTGTCTGTGTAAGTACCAAAGTCAATTCTGCCCTTGTCTGGTCTTGTCTTGCTTTTTACTTTTGTCCTTGATAAAGATTTAACAGATGCAAAATATGTCTGGTGGATGGAACTTTCCTCTGGTCCTCACTTAGCAGGTCAAGGTATTTACTATAGGTAGAGGAAGACACTCTGTTGACTTGTCATAGGTAGAAGCAGCTAAAAATATGGTTTGACAGAGCCAGTCCTGTCCCAGGATCTACTTCTCTTCTCTTGCCCCTTATTAAGTCCTTATACTTGAAAATCTCATGCAGCTTTTCAGCCTCGCTGTGATAGTCCCTTTCATCAACTCCCATCCAGCATCACCCGTGGTCTGAGAAGCAGTATTCTCCCCCATCTTGGAAACGTCTACACCCTTAACTCTTGTCTCAGCAAGGTTCTAGGTTTAACACTGGAGATAATCTCCTTAAGCTAATTTTCACCAAGATGCAAGTGACTTGTACCCCTAACCCTCGAAGGCAGCAGTCTCAGCCTGTGGGTTGCTACACTTTGGGGGTCGCAAATCATCTATATCCTGCACATCAGGATATAGATTACAATTCACAACAGTAGCAAAATTACAGTTTTGGAGCAGCGATGAAAATAATTTTAAGGCTGGGGTCAGCACAACATGCAAAGCTGTGTTAAAGGACCACAGCATCGGAAGGGTTGAGAACCGCTGCTCAGGGGGTGCACCTGCTTTCCTAGGAGAGGTGGTGAGATGGGCTTCCAGGCTGGCTGTGATCTGGCGAGGGATCCACGCTTTCCGTCTGCTCTGACGCATTGCTCTGACTGCTCTGCTCTGCTCTCGTGATAGCTTTATTCTCTTACTTTCATGCCTAGACGTTTCTATAAACATGAAGTAAGTCGGTTTGGCTTTGGGGAAAACTTAGATGTAGTCCCAGACAATGTGTATGCTTAAAGTTAGGGGTATGCTCTGCAGAATGCCTGTGGTTGTCATGTCACACACAGAACCGTGTGTCAACAGAAAACAGAAAACGTCCCTTCCTTATTGCTGAGAAAGTGAGTGAACGCATGCGTGGGAGGGGCATATACACCCCGCCGTAGCATCTAGCCAGGCACCAAAATATGTTCTCCTGCGTTTTTGTTGGCATGGAATGTTATTGATTTTATACTGCTTTTTATATCTTGACATCTCTACCTAGGCTAATAACAGAACCCTGCAAGAGAAGATTTTACAAGTGAACAATTTGGTTGAAGCCTTTGGCAATGCCTGCACTATTATAAATGATAATTCCAGCAGATTTGGAAAATACTTAGAAATGAAATTTACCTCTTCAGGAGCTGTAGTGGGGGCACAGATTTCTGAATACCTTCTGGAAAGATCTCGTGTCATTCACCAAGCCATGTAAGTGCATGTCAGCTGTGCCTCAGTTCCTGAGCAGTATGTGCAGCAATTTCCAATGCCTCGGTTTACTGATCACCTGCGAAGTGTACATCACTGCTGGAAGTACAGAGACCCTCACCAGGGCTTTATTCTCACATACATTAGCATCTGATACAGGAACTGAAAAACAACTTAATAATTATGCTACCACCAAGGAAGTACTAACAGAGTGGAAAAGAGCAAATAGAAAAACCTTATTTCTCCAGGCAAAAATCAATGAGGAATTTAATTGAAATATATTTTAAATATATTAACTATTTTCCTTTTTCTAAATAAACATATGTTTTAATTTTCTTCTTCCTGTATTTTTACTCAGCAGATCTAACAAAATATTCAGGAATGTTCTGCTGTACGGCTATTTTTTATTACTAGTTGACTTTAGGTCATCAATACCACTCATGTATGATTTGATATTAGATTTAGTGACTTTCTTTCAGCAGTTTGTAACTAAATGACATAATTACTCCATTGTTAAATGACTTTAAAATATCCTTGCTGTTCTTATGAGGGAATTATGGTTACTATTGGATTGTACCCTACTGGTTTTATTACTTTTTAAGAGAGTGTAAAGTTAGACTCTCACATGTTGATTTCATGTTCAATGTACTCCTTTATTATGGTAACATGTCAGCTAATTTTATAGGAGCAAAAGCTCTTGTTGGTAATTCTTTTATGGTGCTAAGGATCAGTCTCAAGGCCATGCACATGCTAGGTGAATTCTGTAGCACTGAACCACAACCAGGCCTGATTGTGGTTTTAAGTGATGGGTTGGGGATGGGTTAGTCTATCCGGAGTATTACATTTAAACCTGAAGATCCTCATAGGAGCTTGACTCTGTAACTTTCTGTGTGTGTGATTCAAAGCACTTTATTTAACCCTCTGCACTCTGTGTTTTCATCTTTGTGGTGGAAAACAACAATACATCCTCTCCATTAAGATAATTCTTGTTGTAGAAGATGTAGCATAGTAAACAATAAATAATAAGAATACTGTCAGTGCAGCCAAGGACAGCTGTAGCTGCAGCCCATCACAGAGTTGTAAATATACTTAAAACATTTCATAATGTTTTATAATTTTTATTTTGTAACTTGATTGTATAACATAAGCTTTGTGGATGACACAATGTCAAAATGCTGAGCATGCCTGAACACCAATAAACACTGTAATGACTATGGTGGTTCCAAAGATTAGAAACATCATGCAGTGAATTGAAGACATTTAATGAAGGCAGATAGCATTACTGATGTGTGCCCAAGGCCAAGAATCAGTAGGTCCAGCCTATGTTTGCCACCTGCACATAGAGGAATCTATACTCTTATGCATGTATAAATACAACCACATCTTAGAACTCTTTATTCTGCACCCATAACATTTTAGCCTCTCCTTCAGTTTGGTGAAGAACTATGTGAGATAGTTCAGGGAGCCGCCATGTTACACATAGTCAAGGCACATATTTTCAGCATATTGTATGGAATTATGGGCCAGAACATCACTCATCCTGAACAGCATGAGACTAATACCTTTTGGAGTAACACACTGGAGCCCAGGGTTTGTACCCATAAAATAATCCCTTATTAATTATCCAAACATTGTAAAATGTGGTAAAGAAAAACAACACATTAGGATATTTAAAGCATGTTATGTATTGAATAAGCATTTTGTATCCTAAATGATCTAAGAAATTATGTTAGTGTTACTTCATTACTTATAGGGAAAAGCACTTCAAGGCCCCAATTTGCCTGTGGGTTGAACTACAACTCAGATAAAATTAAACACCAATTACCTTGTAATTTCTATAAAACAGCTTTTTCATTTTGTGTATATTTTTATGATTCTACTTGTAGTTTTTTTTTACTCTTGTAAGAAATTGCTTACAATTTTATACATGTTTATTATTTGATCAAAGCCTCCCCTTATTCTCTCCTATCCTTTTTCCCTCTCAGCAAATTCTTTTGTCTTCCCAAAGACCTTCCCATTCTCGTGTCTTATGAGTGTATGTGTGGTAACTACTGTGTTTAGGCTCTTCATAAGCATGGGTGGGAGTCATTTGCTCACGTGGGAGCAATGTACTAGTGTCTACACCAGTGAGGAGTATGACTGCCCTTCCACCACATCCTTTAAGTGTTTATAGCCTTACGAGCCCTTCTCCTAGCCCTGATGAAATGGTGATAGGCAGGTCTTGTGCAGGTAGCCACTGCTGTTTTAAGTGTATGGATACAGCAGTCAGGTCATGTCCAGAAGACAAAGATTTTATAGGACTCCTTCCCATACCACAGTTCTTATATTTTCTCTATCTCTACTTCTATATGTTGCCCGAGCATTGGGAGCATATGTAGCTCATTTAGGCTTGGACATTCAACAATCACTTGTTCTAAACACATTCATCAGTTTTGAGACTATGCAGTGATTAACACTTACTGCAAATAGGAGCTTATCTGACCAAGAGTGTGAGTAGTCTATGGGTATAAACAAATGTTGATGGGCAGTTTGCCACCATATCCACTTGGCGACATAACAGTAGTTGGTGCCTGCTCCCCCCAGTCTGTAGCCTCCTCAGCACCTTCAGGCATATACAGTTGAAATGTATTCGTCTGTAAAAAACATTTCTGAAAAGGTAAATGGCAGAAATGGGAAATATACTAAGTGAGGTAACCCACACCCCAAGAGAAAAAAAAACACTTCCCATGTGTCAATCCTAGCTAAAACTTTTCAGGTTTCTGTATTTAAATTTAATTGTCTTTAGATACCAGGAAGTTAGACTGGGTCCATGTGGAGAGAGACTGCAGTAAAGCAGGAAAGATAGCTGAACATAGATGTTATAAACATAGAGGAAAGGATTGCTGGAGATGAAAAGTTTCCATAAGGATGAGGTAGGGAGATGAAGGAGGCCTAAACCCAAAAGAACTGTGTATGGAAAAGCCACACGGAGTATCAGTCTCAGAAAAGACCCCGTGTCCAGATTTTTTGGTTCTGTTGCTCTCCTTGTGGAGCTCCTGTCCTCTCCAGGTATTTCTATCTCCCCCTTCTTTCATAAGATTCCCTACACTCTGCCCAAATTTTGGCTGTGAGTCTCGGCATCTGCTTTGATACTCTGCTGGGTAGGGTCTTTCAGAGGCCCTCTTTAGTAGGCTCATGTCCTGTTCCCTGTTTTCTCCCTCTTCCAATGTCCATCTCCTTGGTCTTTCTGAGTGAGGATTGATCATCTTCCTCAGAGTCCTTCTTCTTGCTTAGCTTCTTTAGATGTACAAACTATAGTATGTTTATCTTATATGTCTAATATCCACTTATAAGAGAGTATATACCATGTGTGTCTTTCTGCTTCTAGGATACCTCACTCAGGATGATCTTTTCTAGTTCCCACCATTTGACTGCAAATTTCATGATTTCCTTGTTTTTAATTGCTGAGTGGTATTCCTTTGTGTAAATGTACTACAATTTCTGTATCCATTCTATTCATGGAAGTAACCTAAAACAACTGCACAAATGTAACCCATGGCAGCTGAGTATCCAAGTAGGTTCCCTAGTAAAGGAAACAGGGACTGTCTCTGACATGAACTCAGTGGCTGGCTCTTTGATCAACCTCCCTCTGAGAGGTGAGCAGCCTTACCTGGCCACAGAGGAAGACAATACAGCCAGTCCTCATGAGAACTGATAGGCTAGAGTCAGATGAAAGGGGAGGAGGACCTCATTTATCAGTGGACTTGGAGAGGGGCATGGGAGGAGATAAGGGAAGCATGGTGGGATTGGGAGGGAATGAGGTAGGGGGATATTTCTGGGATACAAAATGAATAAACTGTAATTAATATAAAAAATAAAAATTTAAAAGTAGAAAATGTCATATGGAAACCTGACATTATATAAGTTAATTTAAAAGATAAAAGGTTAAAAAATGGAATTTGAAAGGAGATACACGCTCCTTCAAGAAGCCATGGGTTATTAAACAAAACTCTTAGTGCCAAGTGTGGCCTTCCTTTGTGAGTTGGTGTTAGTCACAACAACTCAAACAACCCCAGAAGTCCCAAAATAATACTGGCCCTCGCTAATCAAGTTAGCTGCTTACCAAAATGACTGCATACACTACATACTTTAGTTAAAATCAAGCTGAAAATGAGCTATTATACTCTTCCTTAATGGCTATCTTCATAGTGCCAAAAAGTTTCATCAGGTCACTGGAGAAAAAAAAAAATTATGAACATCTGTGCCCAGCAGTCAACCCTTCAAACTCTAATACCAACTTTCCAGATGAGATACCCAAGTACCATCATTATTGTTGGGTGCAGGGGGAAGAGCCAATTGATTTCTTTATAAATACCTGCAGAAACCAACTGCATCACTGGAGCCCCTCAAGTGTTCTCTGGTTGGATTTTAGTCCCACTATACAGGAGTACCTCAAATAGAGTACCACTCCACAAGAGGACCTCATACATGATACCCCAAACCAGTTAAAACCTGTATTTATTTCTGTTTTAGTTAATTTGAACTACATTTTATATTCTAAAGAAATGTTTTGCAATGGCAGCTTACAGAATAGAAAAATATCTTCACCAACCCCACATTTGACAGAGGGCTAATTTCCCGAATATATAAAGAACTCAAGAAATTAGACATCACCAAACCAAATCATCCAATTAAAAATGGGGTACGGAGCTAAACAGTTCTCAGCAGGGGAATCTCAAATGGTCAAGAAGCACATAAAGAAATGTTCAACATCCTAAGCCAGCAGGGAAATACAAATCAAAACAACTCTACGATTCCATCTCACACATGTGAAAATGGCTAAGATCAAAAAACACAAGTGACAGCTTATGCTGGCAAGGATGTGGAACAAGGGGAATATTCTTCCAATGCTGGTAGCTTGCAAAGTTGTATAGTCACTTTGGAAATCAATATCAGCAGCTTCTCAGAAAAGTGGAAGATGGTCTACTTCAGGACGCAGCTATACCAACCCTGGGCATGTGTAC